CACCCCGCGACCTTTAACACACCCGAGACCCTTGCCCCACTTGCGACCCTTGACCCACCCGCGACATTTGACCCGCCATTGTCATCCTGCAGAACCCGACACCCGGTTTTGGGCATCGAAGTTCTTATCGCAGAAGACGGGCTTAGGAAGTTTGGGAGGGGGTGGGTTGGGACGGTGGGCAAGGGATGGATTTTGCTGATTATAATACACTTCCCTGGCGAGGTGTACTGCTTCTACAGCTCAGTTCCTGTCCAGACCTGCAGTAGCAAGTGTATATGTTTAGACGGAAGCTTCTTCTTCTTATTTTATGTGTTATTGTGTGTTTGAAGTACAGAAGCTTCTTCTTATATTATGTGTGTTACTGTGTGTTTGAAGTACTGAAGCTTCTTCTTATATTATTTGTGTTATTGTGTGTTTGAAGCCTTAACTGTGTATGTATGTGATTGAGCACCTGATGCCTTTAATATTACCTGCATCTGGAATTGTATTTTCAACGTCAGACTAGTGAGGCAAAGCAATACGGGGTGGGATTTCGAAAAATGCAAATAGTGAAATTTTGAATTTTTCTCTATTTACTTCAATTCAAGAGAAAAATGAAGATTTCATTGTTTCTGTTTTAAATGAGTTGCGGTGGAACGTATATTCGCAGGAGTTCTGTTCGCAAAATAACTGTGGCAGCGGGTGATAAGATTGTTTATCGATAATTGTTTAAACAATTTTCATTGTTATTATAAAAATCTTCATAGGGCTTTATATATTATATCGTTTGTTAGTTGTGTGATAATAACAAATAATAATACGTAATAGCTATAATAGTTTTCCTGCAGATGTTATGAATGAGAATCTCCTTTGTGTCAATGTAATCCATTGACTCGTTTACGATCCATGAGGTGTGTCAAGTTGTGTATAAATACAGGCAACTTGTTTGTAGTATGGAGTCGAGTCAGGTGTACAGTCAAGTTGTGGCATATGTTCAACTTGGAGTCAAGTTAGGTATATTCAGTCTAGTTGACTGTAGAACGATGTTATATAAGTGAAGTGGAGCCAATCAGTCATGTTGAACATACAATAAATTTCGGTTGAGTATGAAATAGTTTAAATCTCAGCTACTAGTACAATCGAATCTCGTTTTCACCGCCAATTAATTCTCATAATTTTATTCCTTATTATTATCATTTATTTATCATAATTTCATAATCCAAATCGCCACTGCTTCCGCCGCTTATCTGCCACGCATAATGAAGGCTTCACGTGAAGTCTCCGGCCACCTGCCGTGATAAGGACTTGCCTAATTGACATCTAATTTATTATCAATTATTTACTATCTCTTGTTACGATTTGACGTGTTTGCTGAACGGCTTAAATGTGTGTGCTTTAACGTGGGTATCTTGACCGGGTACCGGTATGGGTATTATAAAAACAGTGACGCATTATTTGGGCATCAGTGACGGGCGACCGACAGTGGGGGCATCAGTGACGGGCGACAGTGTGGGCATCAGTGACGGGGGCCAGTGTGGGCATCAGTGACGGGCGCCAGTGTGGGCATCAGTGACGGGGGCCAGTGTGGACATCAGTGACGGGCGCCAGTGTGGGCATCAGTGATAGGTGCACTAATTTTATCATGTTTTCATCAAGATAATACATCATCATTCCTGTGCAGTTGTTATTTTTTTGAAGGAATTTCGTAAACCTAAACTGAATATCAGCATGACTAATGCAGACTCATACTTCATAGCCTGGGACATCATACCAGTGAAACGCTCTTTCTGGAGAGGGTGGAATCACAACTCTGCTTGTGTCAACTCATGTGTCAACTCATGTGTCAACTCATGTGTCAACTCAAATGTAGATTCATGTGGCAACTCATGGGCCGACTCATGCGTTCATTCATGTACTTCGACTCATTTGTGTCCTGATGATGAGGGTGGTAAGTTTCTAATTCCGGATTAGATATAAACGACAATAATGAAAAAATTGATCACTGGGAAAATATTTCACAGCGGTGCAAATCGGGGGCTCAGCCGTAGGCCACAAATTCGACTTTTTAATAAGCTCTAATGCCAACGCCCAGCCTCAGTATGCAATAACTATACTAATACTCAGCCTCAGAGAGAAAACGCTGGAACACTGTAATCCAGACCAGTGAAGCACTGGTTAAAGATAATAGCGCCGTAGGTTTTCAGCCAATAGTTCAGCAGGCTCGCTCATATGCAGGCGGTTCTGCATCCGGTCTTCACCTACTCTTGCCTAAACTTTTCTGGCCTAATTCATTCACGCAGCCGTGACGCACAACTTTCTTGCAGCCAATGACTGGCTCTAGCTACTCACTTGCCCCTCCCCTTTAACTTCCTGCAGCCAATGACGTTAGATTAGGTCCGCTCAAGTTAGTTTTGGGCGGAGCTTTGGGGGAATGTGAGTAGGTTAGGCCAGAAGCGTTCCGGCCAGAAGAGGTTAGGCCGAAGTAGCTAGGTTAGGCTAGAAGAGGTTAGGCAAGTCTGAGTAGGTTAGATCAAATGTAGTACGAGTGTACGACCATGTTTAACTTGAGCATGGCTGTGGACATACGGCGCGATGTTTTTAAGCATTTGACTTTATAGACCTCTATGCTCTCTGAGATGTTTTTCCAAGCTAAATATTTTTGTAGAATTAATAAGGTTGTTCCTTCTCCTTCCAGCTGGCGAGAAAAACAACAATAACAACAACAACAACAACAACGAGTCTTCCTCCCCCCCTTCCGCTACTCCTCATTCCTCCGAGGGGGGTTGTCGGGCCGCAGCCCCCCCTCCTACCTCCCCAGCTGTAGCAAGCCTCCCTTCCCCCACCCCCTCCGACCCCCAATCTGGACCACCCTCATCCCCACTCCTCTCCACCCCTGCAAGTCCCCCCTCTGCCACCCTCCCCCGCTGTGCTGGGGGGGAGCAGGGGACCCGTGGGGGGGCTTATGAGGGGGTCAGGGGAGGCCTCAGCGATGACGGCGACCTGGGAGACGGCAACGGCACTGTCGTAAGTTACAGCTTGTCGTAAGTTACAGTTAGTCGTAAGTTACAGTTAGTCGTGAGTTAAAGTTAGTCGTAAGTTACAGTTAGTCGTAAGTTACAGTTAGTCGTAAGTTACAGTTAGTCGTGAGTTAAAGTTAGTCGTAAGTTACAGTTTGTCGTGAGTTACAGTTAGTCGTAAGTTACAGTTAGTCGTAAGTTANCACTGTAACAATTGTAACAGCTGTGCAGCGTGTGCAACAAGTAACAAGTAACACTGTAACAATTGTAACAGCTGTGCAGCGTGTGCAACAAGTAACAAGTAACACTGTAACAATTGTAACAGCTGTGCAGCGTGTGCAACAAGTAACAAGTAACACTGTAACAATTGTAACAGCTGTGCAGCGTGTGCAACAAGTAACAAGTAACACTGTAACAATTGTAACAGCTGTGCAGCGTGTGCAACAAGTAACAAGTAACACTGTAACAATTGTAACAGCTGTGCAGCGTGTGCAACAAGTAACAAGTAACACTGTAACAATTGTAACAGCTGTGCAGCGTGTGCAACAAGTAACAAGTAACACTGTAACAATTGTAACAGCTGTGCAGCGTGTGCAACAAGTAACAAGTAACACTGTAACAATTGTAACAGCTGTGCAGCGTGTGCAACAAGTAACAAGTAACACTGTAACAATTGTAACAGCTGTGCAGCGTGTGCAACAAGTAACAAGTAACACTGTAACAATTGTAACAGCTGTGCAGCGTGTGCAACAAGTAACAAGTAACACTGTAACAATTGTAACAGCTGTGCAGCGTGTGCAACAAGTAACAAGTAACACTGTAACAATTGTAACAGCTGTGCAGCGTGTGCAACAAGTAACAAGTAACACTGTAACAATTGTAACAGCTGTGCAGCGTGTGCAACAAGTAACAAGTAACACTGTAACAATTGTAACAGCTGTGCAGCGTGTGCAACAAGTAACAAGTAACACTGTAACAATTGTAACAGCTGTGCAGCGTGTGCAACAAGTAACAAGTAACACTGTAACAATTGTAACAGCTGTGCAGCGTGTGCAACAAGTAACAAGTAACACTGTAACAATTGTAACAGCTGTGCAGCGTGTGCAACAAGTAACAAGTAACACTGTAACAATTGTAACAGCTGTGCAGCGTGTGCAACAAGTAACAAGTAACACTGTAACAATTGTAACAGCTGTGCAGCGTGTGCAACAAGTAACAAGTAACACTGTAACAATTGTAACAGCTGTGCAGCGTGTGCAACAAGTAACAAGTAACACTGTAACAATTGTAACAGCTGTGCAGCGTGTGCAACAAGTAACAAGTAACACTGTAACAATTGTAACAGCTGTGCAGCGTGTGCAACAAGTAACAAGTAACACTGTAACAATTGTAACAGCTGTGCAGCGTGTGCAACAAGTAACAAGTAACACTGTAACAATTGTAACAGCTGTGCAGCGTGTGCAACAAGTAACAAGTAACACTGTAACAATTGTAACAGCTGTGCAGCGTGTGCAACAAGTAACAAGTAACACTGTAACAATTGTAACAGCTGTGCAGCGTGTGCAACAAGTAACAAGTAACACTGTAACAATTGTAACAGCTGTGCAGCGTGTGCAACAAGTAACAAGTAACACTGTAACAATTGTAACAGCTGTGCAGCGTGTGCAACAAGTAACAAGTAACACTGTAACAATTGTAACAGCTGTGCAGCGTGTGCAACAAGTAACAAGTAACACTGTAACAATTGTAACAGCTGTGCAGCGTGTGCAACAAGTAACAAGTAACACTGTAACAATTGTAACAGCTGTGCAGCGTGTGCAACAAGTAACAAGTAACACTGTAACAATTGTAACAGCTGTGCAGCGTGTGCAACAAGTAACAAGTAACACTGTAACAATTGTAACAGCTGTGCAGCGTGTGCAACAAGCAACAAGTAACACTGTAACAATTGTAACAGCTGTGCAGCGTGTGCAACAAGCAGTTCGCTAACGTGCACCGGCTACAGCGTCACATGATATCGCACAATGAGTCCGAGATGCTGCGACGCTTCAAGTGCGACGAGTGCGGCAAGGCCTTCAAGTTCAAACATCATCTTAAGGTGGGTTCTTGTCACATGTCATGTTACTAGCCTTGTCACATGTCATGTTACGTGCCTTGTCACATGCCATGTTACGTGCCTTGTCACATGTCTTGCAACATGGCATGTTATAGGCCATGGCGCATGTCTTGTCACATGTCTTGTCACATGTCTTGTCACATGTCTTGTCACATGTCTTGTCACATGTCATGTTACGTGCCTTGTCACATGTCTTGCGACATGGTATGTTATAGGCCATGGCGCATGTCTTGTCACATGTCTTGTCACGTGTCATGTTACAGGTCACGTCACATGCCTTGTTACAGGTCTTGTCACATGTCATGTTACAGGTCTTGTCACATGCCTTGTTACAGGTCTTGTCACATGTCATGTTACAGGTCTTGTCACATGNGTAGCGGCTATAAACTTTGGTATCAGTTGTAGCGGCTATAAACTTCAGTATCAGTGTAGGCGCCCATAAACTTTGGTATCAGTTCTAGCTTTGGTAGCAGGCTTTTGCATAGAAAGTGCTGCTACATGCTTCCTCTTACATAATATTAGGAGATCGTCGGATTTTCATCTCAGTCCCTAATTAACAATCTATTTAAAACAACAGCTTCTCATGAATTATCCTTGGTTTGTAGGAACACAAGCGTATTCACTCCGGGGAGAAGCCGTTCGAGTGCGAGCACTGCGGCAAACGCTTCAGCCACTCCGGCTCATACAGCAGCCACATGAGCTCGAAAAAATGTCAGGTGTGTATTGGTGTGACTTTGTGTGTCTTTGTGTGTCGTGTGTTTGTTGGTGTGGCAGTTTTTTTTGTCCTTGTGTGTCAAGTGTGTTGGTGTGTCCTACTGTATCAAGGGTGTCTTTGTGTGATGTGTGTGTTTGTGCATCAGTTCGCATCAGAATATGCAAGGATCATATTTTGTATAATGCAATGATATTTCGGTAATTCTCGATGAATTTCCTGGACCAATTTCCCTTGTTCCCTCAGATGGGCCGTAGCCGGACTGCTGCATCCCTTCTTCCCCGGGATGGACCTCTGAGGGGAACCCAGTACCCGGGCGCGGGGAACAAGAGGCAGAACAACCACGCCGTACCTTTTCTCCCCATACTCCCCAAAAACGAATCTCCAACTCCCTCTGACTTGGGGTACTCCTCTCCTCCCCATGCTATCCCCACGGACTCCACGACACTTTCCCCTTCTTCTCTGGGTGTCCCCAACCTCCCCGTATCTTCCCACTCTGGGGCTTTGGCAAGTCTGGCCTCCTCTGCCATTGAGTCGACGCTGCATAACAGCCTGCAGAGCAGCCTGCACAGCAACCTGCAGAGAAGTCTGCAAAGTCAGACCAATAACCTAGCTTGTGGCCTACAGACTTCATTACAAAACAGCATACATAATAGTTTACAAAATTCCATTCATAATAACCTGCAGAGCTTGACGCAGACTCTACAGCAAGGATTTTCTCAGTATCACCCCTTGAATTCTCTTATTTTGGCCGCACAGCTCCATCCCCAGTTGTCCCCTCTTCCCCCCATTCCCCCTTTGTTGTCCCTCTCCATGACCCAAGCCATGTCGGGACAAAGTCCCGACCCCAGTGAGTGTATGTCCCAGACACGGGACATGAAGGAAGAGGAAGACGATGCTGATGAAGATGAGCCGGGAGAACTCGTCATAAAAGAGGACCCGACGGACGAAGAGGTTGATGATACAGACAAGAAATCGTATGAAGATGAGAGATCAACGAACAGCTTGTTACTCAGAGACGAGATTAAGGAGATTCGCAGCGGATTAAATAGTGACGTCGTTGGCTCTTCGTTGCCAGAACTAAACTCGAGTTTCCACCGCCATCAAGACCGCCATTCGTCGGACCAATTCCTGCCGGTCTCCAATGGGTTTGCATCCGGACTCCTACAGTATCCGCACTCGATAAGTTCACTTCAGTCAGTTTTAAGTAACGTTAACAGTGATTTAACACGACACCAGTTCGAACAGACGGTCGCGGGAGCCTCGACGTCTTCTCTTCTGTCAACATCTCACCTGTCGTCAGATTTGCGCTGCCTGCTTTGTGGCTGGTTCTCCTCAACTCGTCTCGAGGCTCTCACTCATTCGAGGAAAATGTGTCCATGTCTTCCTCAGGTCTCGAGTGCTCAAGAGGGCCTTCAGGAAGCCCTTATCAGTGGACTAGCCTCTAAAATTCACAGAATGTCATCCACATCCCATTCCGCGGCTCCTTTCTTGTCAAACCAATCCAGTGCTTCCAATGTCCGAATTTTGGGTAACCCATTTCGAGACGAAGAGTCTGGCCCCGACACCGATAACTCCTTGGGCTCGATGGCCATGGACTCTGAGGAAAACAGTCGAGATGGCCGCAAAATTCGATCTCGTTCACATATTCGCGGTGAACATCTAGACGTGTTGCGCCCTCTCTACTACCGCAATCCTCGGCCAAAGAAGGAGGAAATCGTAGCGATTGCCAATCGCCTTGGATTCCCCACTCGTGTTGTCCAAGTCTGGTTCCAGAATGCAAGGGCGCGAGATCGTCGTGAAGGTCGACCAGTTCCTGGTGGCAGCAACGACAACAATTACTCTAATACTTTTAATTTCCCCGGTAGGAACCCTGACTCTAAAGATACCGAGTCTCTCAGATCCGCTGTGGGTTTCAGTTGCACCGCTGAGTCCAGAGATGGTGAGCTGCTAAGAAGCTCCTTGACTGCTCCCACCGAAGCTCATCCTTTGGTGTCCTCACACCTCATTCCGTCTCCAAATTCATGGGCTTCATCATGTATTCAAGACTCCAAGTCTGTTTTATCTTTGTCTTTCAATGGAAGGATTCCAGTTCCAGGTTCCGCTTCTTCAGAACTTTTGGCCTCGGCTCTTCAGTCATCGCGTCGACTGAGTAAAGCCTCGGCGTCTACCTACGACGTGGAGGACGTGATGCCGCTTGACCTGTCCACTAAACGTGCCTCATCCCCACAAGTGGCCTCTCTGCCGTCCTCTTCCTCAGCGTCAATCCCCGTCACTCAGGCCGCCACCTACTCCGTGATGACCTCCGCTTGTCCACCACTTCAGCTCGTCCATGAATCAACTAAAACTTATTGTTCTTCGGCGTTGACATCGTCGGTGATGGACTCGACTTCTGAGCCGGAGATTATGCAACAAAATGTGGTATCTCCCCTAACTTCATCTCCTCGGTCTCCAATTAATCTTATACCGTCTAGCCCAATCGGTACCACAGACGAAAATGCAACGGTGGTTGAGGAAAAACGTAATCTTCTTAATAGCGCCGCAGCTACCTTGGATTTACGAAGAAACAACGACCTGGGTTCCGTTGATACCGTGATCCCTATGGAGGCTGATGAGCGTGACACTCCACCTAGTTCCGTCATTGCGACCTCCACTTCCGGGATAATCGTTTCCACTAATGCCCCTATGGAGCCATCTGCATCTTGTCCTTCTGTAGTTGAATCTCCTCAATCTGAAGAAGAAGCTGTCCATTCCGACGATCTTTTCGTCAGTGCTCAACGTAACTCCGACCTTTTGGGCCCGACTGAAACTAAAAACACGGGTCTAAACTCGGGTTTTTTGGACCCATTTTCAAGCGCGAATAAAGTCCTTGATTCAGCATCTTCGGCCTCTGTTAAACGACTTCCTTCCTGTCAACCTCTGTCTTCCTGTCAGCAGCCAAACTTTTTCCCATCTGTCAGTGTTCCCTCCACATCACAATCCTCTAGCTCCCCTTCCGTCAGTCTGACCTCACAGTGCAAACTCGCTCAAATTCTGCAAGGATCAAAACTTGGCTTTAAGGCAATCTACGCCCCCGAGAACCTCACCGTCGCCGATAAACGTCCACTGGTAAGTTTTTGTTTATTCATTTAATTTAACCCTCTACCACCCGACACGAATAACCGGAGCAATATTGTCACGCGCCTACACCCCAAAAAGGATACGTTCTAGTGAGCGCAAAATGACTTGCACTGATGGTTGCCGCCACGTACGACAACTTTAAAATGTTCTCTGTTGCGTACAAACGTCCTCAGGCTGCTACGCTCAATAGTTTATGTATAATTTAAATTGAAAGCTAGGTTCCCTGAGAGTGACATACGGCGGTAGCGGGTTAAACTTCAAACCGTTCAAATTTAGTCTAGTTCATGTTATTATTCCTTTACGTTTCTTAGCGCTCTGCTGTCGAATGTGATGGGATTAAATTCAATAATGGCACTATCGCGTCTTACGTTTCTCCAATTACTCCAACTTGTATGATCGTTCGGGTCTAAAGCCAGTTGAAATAACATCGTCACTGAATTACGGTTTCGTTAATTTCTAAAGATGCCGTAAATTGTGCAATTTGTTCATGACTTCTTAATCGTTATTGGTCATGTTCAATGTAACAAGACGAACGATCTTCACTGCGAATTTCTATGGTCAATGTTGAGCAATGTCAATTGCAATTTCATATAAAATTACTTAAATAATCAAAAATTTATTATAATTCATTTTAATTTTATTGTTTTTTGAAATTGTAATTGAACAAATTAATTTTCTCTTCCTGGATATTGTGCAGTAATTACCTGGAAGTTCTTTATTACTGCCTATTTTGATGTGAACTATTATTCAGCAATGTCCACTTTTTGACTTATAGAGAGGAAATTTGGCTACGCATTAATTTGAATTAGGTGAAAATTAAATTTGTAGTTTTTAAGCAGTTGTCACATTAGTACGCGTCATTAGCGAAAACGCAAACTAATGAGAGACATTTTTATCGGTCTGCAAAAGCAATACACTTTCAACGGTGCACTGAACCGCCATCTCTTCCAATGGTACGCGGAATCGCCATATTTTTTATCGACACGCAAAATCACCTCATTTTTAATAATACGCGGACTCTTCTTATAATAATTTTTGCGGGAAGCATTTCACCCCTTGGCACGAAGTCGCCATAGGTATCTTTTATCGACACGCTAAACATCACATTTTTAATCGTACGTGGACTCATCATATCTTTTTTGGTTTGCGAGAAGCAATTCCTGAAAACAATTTCACCCCTTGGGACGAAATCGCCATATTTCTATCGGTACGCAAAACCACTATATTTTTAATAGCAAGCGGACTCTTCATATATTAATGGTTTGCATGAAGCAATTCCTGCTGACTTTTTTTTTGCGTGCGCAGGACGACGCGGTGCTGGATGACTGCAAGAGGCGGCGGCTGGACGATGAGGTGGGGGGCGCGTTCCCCTGCAACCAGTGCGACAAGACCTTCAACAAGCAGTCCTCTCTCGCCAGGCATAAATACGAACATTCCGGTAATTAATCCTGACTATTTAAAATTTTTAATCATTATGCTGCCTAAATTGCAAGTTCAATAAGAATATAAAAGCTTAAATTATTCAAATTTTTTATCATTAGTCTGCCTAAATCGTAAGTTCAACAAGAATCTAAAGGCTTTATAATATTCTAAAATTTTTAATATTAGTCAACCTAAATTGCAAGTTCAACAAGAATCTAAGAGCTTTAGACTATTCTAATGTTTTTTTTTTTTATAATTAGTCAGCCTAAATTGCAAGTTCTACAAGAATCCAAAATCTTTAGACTATTCTAAATTTTTTATCATTAGTCTACCTAAATTGCAAGTTCTACAAGAGTCTAAAAGCAAAGGCAACGCTAAGCAAACTCACCATATCATCAATCGAAACGTATTCTTTTATACAGGTTTTGTTCTAATTACCTACTTAGTTTTGTTTCTTTACGCATGTTTAATTGATGTCCCGATGGTGCAAGTGCCCTGCCATATAGATTATCTTGTTACAATTGCGTATCGTACATGCAGGTGCCCTGCCACCTATAATAATCTTATAGTAATTCTTAATAATAATCTTAATGTGATAATCTTATTGAATTTACTGGTATTGCAGGTGCCCTGCCACCTGTAATAATCTTATAGTAATTCTTAATAATAATTTTAATGTGATATTCTTATTGAATTTACCGATATTGCAGGAGCGCGGCCACCTGTAATAATCTGATTTTAATTCATTTAATAATAATCTTCATGTCATAATATTATTGAATGTCCCCGGTATTGCAGGAGCGCGGCCGTCTGTAATAACTTATTATAATTCATAATAATAATCTTCTGTGCCCTAATCTTGAATGTCATAATTGAATGTCCCTGGTGTTGCCGGTGCCCTGCCATCTGTATTAATTGTAATTCATAATGACAATTTTAATGTCAAAAACGTATTGAATGTCCCCGGTATTGCAGGAGCGCGGCCATACCAGTGCTCGCAGTGCCCGAAGGCGTTCAAACACAAGCATCACCTGACGGAACACAGCCGCCTGCATACGGGCGAGAAGCCTTACCAGTGCAACAAATGTCAGAAGCGTTTCTCTCACTCAGGCTCTTACTCACAACACATGAACCACCGATACTCGTACTGCAAGCCTGAGGAGGGGACGGCTGGGGACGGTAGTGGGGCTGTGGGCGGTGACGAGCGAGATGAGGATAGCAAGTCACCAAATGTGGCCTTAAGGCTCCTCATCAACGGACTTGAACGGGCGAGGAAAGACGGTGATGAAATCTTGAGAGATAGCGCGGAGATTATGAGGAATGGGGATGAGGTCTCGAGAAGTGGTGGGGATGTTGAGGTCTTGAGATCCCCTGAGGGTAATGGTGATGCTTTCGAAGACCGTTGTTCGTCACCCATGGATGGGGAAGATGGAGAAGAATCTAATGATAGTTCTGACGAGCTCAGGATTGTCACTGATCCCATCCCCTCCTCCTCACCTCCTTGTGGGGATGATGACTACGATGATGTGGGGGAAGATGGAATCAGTTCCCCTAAGTGTCCCGGACATGTGCTGGCATCAGTCTCCCCACGGGGATTGTGTAGCGCTTCAGACAAAGAAAATGTGACGGCGTAACCGTGTGGCGTGCGATAAATTGACTGTGTTGGTCATGAGTGATATTCGTGTGCTTGCAAGTACAATTGCCTGCAGCCACAGTAAAGTATCGCGTACAAAGATACTTCATTCTATTAGAATACAACGAATGCAAATTCTAAAGTTTTGCTGCAGGTAAAGGCTCCTTTGAAAATGGTTGCCTTTCACGTTTGCAGTTTACGATGGAAACGCTTGCGCTGTCACCTCAGCGGCGCGTTGCAGAACTACACCTAATAAGTCTTTGCCATTTCTCGCTTCTTCTTCGATACTTCCATAGACCTAAGTTTTTCTCTGGTTCTCTAGTTACCTATTGACTTTGCTCTAAGACATAGACGGTATCGTGCAAAGTTCCTACTCGAACTTCTTGCAAGTTTGTGAACAATTTAGTGTCGTTGAACATTTTTCAACTTTCGTACAAGGACAACATAAATCGTTTATTGTGACCTCAGAAACTAGACTCAAATGCATTGCTCTTGTGAATAAAAGTAAAGTTTTTTTTTCACTTTCCATGTGAACACGATAAATATTACACGAAACTTTTCACGCAATTATTCGGTGATATTGTAAAATTATCTTAGTGATCGAGGTTGCTAAATTATGAGGTGCTAGTGTAAAATTATAAAAGTTCGTGATCGCGGCGACGCAAAATCTGCAACAACGAACATGATGCAAGTTGTGGGGACACACACTTTGTTGTTGAATAATTTCTTTACTTATGTGTATATTTAGGGAGAGCATAGGAATAAATTATGAAAGGATGTAACGATGAAACTAGGAAAAAAGTAGAATGGAAAAATAGAATAGTAAAAATTTTTCTTCAGATCCTTATTACTTATATGAAAGCCTTCTCTGTTCCCTACAACCTCTTTCGGAAAATCTGGGTTTGACAGCTTTGATGAAATTGGAAAAACTAAAACGGGTTAAAACATTAAGGATATAGAGATGACTTAACCTTTTAAAATGTTTACTATTTTTATAAAAAATTATCGAAGAAATGGCTCACGTCACCAGAGTTTTGTCGTCTGTTTTCAACGTTTGTATCGGCTGCTGTTGATCCACTCACTACACTTAGTTGGGAAACTTGATAATAAGTTTGTAATTAAACTGTTTACTTTGTAATTATGAAGCAAATAAGCTTTTTAATTGCTAAGTAGGGTGCAGTGAAGGCTGAGTGATGTTCTATCGTTTGTTCATCGTATGTGCGTCCAATAATGAAGTCCACAAAATAGTTACGTTTGTTCGAGTCAAAATAGGTGATATTATTATACTCATCATAAGCATGATGATTATGACCTATCATCGATGAAATATGTGCCAATGATACTCAAGTTACACCTCGCTTACTTGTCTTCATCTTTCTTGTTCAAATTTGCTCATTTTGTACTACAATGGAGACTTGATATGAAAATCAAAACTGCTTATCCTTCCATTCCTTAGGTCAACTTTTCACTAGGTATACTTACGATAAAATATTACTATCACTTTTAACAATGTTGTACTTCCTCAGAAAATAACTTTCGTAGGTCTTGCTGAATGGTCAGCGCTTTTTTCTTCTTGAAACATAATACAAGCGTCTTTTTCTCGAGTGTTTTGCATGCCGTTACAGTCTAGTTCCGGTCTTCGTATAAGCACTTGTTAGCTCAACAAGCACTCTAATATACAATGGTTAAATGTGCGCTTGCTAGTGTGATTGTATTGCCATAATGGATGCCGATTGTACCGTCACTTTTTACCGATATGAATACATTTATTGCTTTAATGATAGCCATTATGATTAGCATTGTAATTACATTTTATATTGCTAGTCTTAGTTATATTATGTTAGTCATGTGATTGCCATACAACGAAACTTATTCATTTTTTCTGGTGTTTCGCTCGTTTACTAATCCTGTATTATATTGGTGGCGGGGAACCTAATTAACATTGTCCTCGTAATTGGTTATCATTCAACTCTACGCATCCCAATTTCCAAATTGTTCAATATGATTGATTTTAAAAACAGCAGCGCTTAAATTTCCAAATTTTTACCATAGGGTGAATCTGTATACCCGAGAACATTTTTCGTTATCACACTAACGCAAACTTGTTTACAAGATTTCAACGCAATTTTGCGGATTTTAATTGCAGGACGAACAATGCATGAAATGCGCTGTCAGTTTTGCCGCTACTCAAGCTTGCTAGAATCCTGGTATTTTTTTTTTTTGATCCACCGAAACATAAACTGAGTTTGCTTAAATTTTACACATTTTTCCAGACGGGCATATTAACGAATGTGTGATTTATTCGTGTGCGGTATGTACGTCTGCTGTGTGCGTGCATTTCTTCTTCACTCGCATTCCTCATCTTTAAAATACTCTTAAGAATATTTAACTATACAAACGTACAGCCAAAATGTGTTGTATTAAGGTTCAAATACAGAAATAAATTTCTATCGTTGTTCTGAGAAGTATTACCGCTAGGTTTAAGCTGAAAGTCCGATGCAGATTTTGTGCTCTCAAACGTCCATATTTTCTAACTTGGCTAATATTGACTGTAGAGTTAGACGTTTATTGAACTGCTCCGATGTCCCTCCTTATTCATAACGAACTAACTTTTTTCAATCTCTCTATACTCTTCTATTATAATTATTATTATGATTCCATAGTCAAAGGAATAGTGAGAAGGAAATCGCGTCTTCGGTCGGTTTGCATGCGCTATTCGAATTTTCTCTATCGTAACTTTAAGCACTTATTCTTCTTCCGTAGCTTTCGAGTTCTCATCCATTAGCTACTGTTATTCAAATGATACTTATTCACCTTCATTCAAGGGAATTAATTTTCGCCTTTTCCTCTTTTGTTTCCGCAGTTATTATTTTCCGATACGAAATTCTAATTTCTCCTGATCGCACGTGAAGACTACAAATCAATTTGTTCATCGTATTGGTTTTCCCTTCAAATATGTACTGTTGCTACAAACTATTATCTGGTTTTGAACGGCTGAATTGTCAATGGCCGACGTCTTTTAACTAGAAATTTTGCTCACTGATTCGCCAGCCTCCAAACTTATCAGTTTCATTTCGTGTCTTGCCTCGCTTCGTCATCCACCTCCACTCGTATAGTTTCATCTTGTGTCACTTCTCACTTCGTCATCAGCCTCCACTCGTATAGTTTCATTTTGTGTCATGCCTCGCTAAAAAAAATGCGTCGGTCAAGAATGTTACGTCGTGTAGCAATTTTTCAAGCAAACATCATTCAGTTCATTGAAATTTCGTTATATGCTGCATGTTCAACTTGTAGCTCTAATTAATGCTCGACTTGCTTCTTTGGTGATGGTAGTTTACAATATATTTCCATCGATTTTGAAGTGCTGGCCTCATCTAATATTGGTTATAATTGAATTCTCCCATCCTTCATTTTTGAAAAAATTACTCTCGAATGGAATGTTTCAATTTTGCAGTACAAAATTATGCAGCTATTCGTGGGCAAGATTTAATATCGCTAACTATATGTCGGTCACCAAATCCATTATGATTCTCAATTGGCAGGCTTTAACATTTCCATCGGCATTATTCAACTGATCGCAATTTCTTCAAGAACGATTTGGCATTTCCGTTATAGGATCTTAGTCATTGCCTCCGAGTAAATTTTTGTATGTTTTAAATTTCACCAATTTTCTCCAACTTACCCTGGTTTATTGGAACTTATATAGATTGCATCATTGCGTATTACTAAACTGTCCTTATAAATGTTCACGAATTTGTTGGCTGATTGGACGATCGATTAACGAATTTTTCGTTAATTTTTACACATAGGACGTTATCTTCTTGGATTGGAGATGCTCTCTTTCTCTTTACGTTAAGTTTTTTTTTTTACGTTCAGGACAAGCGTTTTTGTAGTTGGTATATCACGTGCAATTTTTTTGTTCAGTTTTACTTCTTGAAGTTTTAATTAATTACAAGTAATTCCTTTATTCCTGTTCTTTTCTTGTTGTTATGACCTGGTTTTTATCACAGGAGTTAAGTTAAACGTTTTTTGAGGAGCGTTATCCACTGTGCCGCAAACGTTGACCAGTCTAATTCGTTTTCAATAATTAAGTTAGACTCAGCGTAATACTGCCTGTATTTTGCCTGTTATTTGGATTCATCTGAATATTATTTTAGTCTCACCCGAGCTCTGATTTTATTTTCCAGTCATTAGAATTAATGTAGTTTCTTTTAATGTTTCCTAAATCGTGCTAACGTGTCTCTCAATCTTGCGTCTCAAGATATGATATTATTGATTTACCTGAATTAGATCACTAAAATTTTCTCGTGTCTCAGTTTGTTTTTCTATTTCATTGCCCAGGTCTTTCACGTCGTTCATTCGAAACTAATATTATGTTTACGTTGAAGTTTGAAGGCATCTTCATCACAATTATTTTCAGACAATAATTACTCAGATATGCAAGCACCTTTTGTGATGGTGATCTTTTCATGTGTTCCATCATCCGTAATATTCTTTATGCTATGCATGTACGGCACTCATCTTCGTGTATAATTGAAAATAGCCTCTAAGCCTTTCGTGCTTCGTAGTTTTATTTTTGTACAAGTTTTTTTACTACAAGTAAAGATATGCCATTTCAGTTCTTTTTGATTTTAATCCTTTTGTTTTTTTTTTTGTCGTGTTGTTCTTAAATTCACACGTAAGCAGAGAATTTTAGTTTTTTATTCAAATTAACATGCAAGTTTCCTCGAATTGGCGGAAAATCATTCCAAACTCTTCGCTATAGCGTCTTCACATTTCATTTATATTCTGCCGCCTGATTACATAATCTCAAATTTTCTAGTCTATTTAAGAATATATTGAGCCATCTTAGCACTTAATTTTGCGATAGGTATATCGTTTAAAATCCTCGATTTTTTAATGAGCACCTTAGTATTTTCTTTGTTTTTTTTTTCACCATGAAATCATTGAAAGGGAAATAACCTAGTAACCCGTAATTCCAATTAATATTTTTGCTATCACTTTGCTTTTTCTACTCTTACTTCGACTTTCCCTACCACCGTTCCAAGTGCTTCCATCGTCATAATGCAGTGCTTCGCCTTCGCTCTTTGTATTAGAATAGGAAATGTACGTTGCCTTGGAGACATCAATTGTTTCACAAGATTTTACACAAATTTGAATAATTCACTATTATTACTGTCATGCTGAAGGGAAATGACTTCGAAAGCACAAAATTAAGTAATATGATTAATTGGAAATTCCTTTACGAATGGGAATTTAACTCTTGAATTAATAGTTGAAATTTGTATCAATTGTTTTAGTTTGATAACTGAGAATAGGGTAGTTGGATGAAATTCTGTTCGGAATTTATATTCTTTTCTACTGAATGTTTGAGTTAATATATATTTAGCAATTATGGCGGTGCAGGTCCTGTAATAAATAGGGTTGGGTGTTGATTCGCCTAAATTTCATGTCAATATTTTCCCGTCTTGATTATATAATTATATAAAATTAATGAAAGGGAATTAGTTCACTACGTCGTTCGGAGTGCAAAATTTGTTACCAAGTGGCTGCACGCACAATATACGCTGCAATTGTCAAATTAATAAGATTTGAATTCCTCAGATTTTTTAAAACCACGAAAAGTAAACTTAAACGTTACACTTTGTTGGCCGTAGCGGTGTATTTGCACCGTGTATACTGTGTACTCCATGCCAGCCGTCATGGTTAAAGTCTGGGGCTGTTAACAGCTTCTACGTGTTGCCTCGAATTCCGTCTTGAATAATTGATAATAATAATTTGTTATATTTGAATTCCACTGTGTAGATTTTGAGCTGCTGCTGCCATTCTAATGGCTTGATGGATTAGCCGGAAATAACGACTGTCGGTGAATTCAACTCAAGGTTTCCCATTGCATACTGTGTAAATTTTTAGCAAACTTCACGGAATGTTGATGATGAAACTTACACCTTATGGTCTGTCGTCTATGAATTCGTTCTGAACATCAATGAGATATCGGGTAATGATTTAAACTCATCAGTTTGATGGTGAATCAAATAACGCGTGTTTGGACGATCAACATATGTTTCCAAATTTAATTATCGATCGCCATCTATGGCAACTTATCAGACACAAATCTCAAGATAACAAAATATTAAAACAAAATCTAATGGCGAAATATACTCAAGAAAATCTATTGAAAAAATTAAATATAGATCAATAAATTCACAATAATTTTCAGCCACGAACAAAATAAAAATTCTGTGTGTTCACGACGGTTGATTGAAAATGGAGCTGTGAATGCTAATTGAAAAAAGATAATATGAAATTAAACTTCAAGACTATGTTTTTAAAAAGAAGTCATAACTACGACACGTTTGCGATTCCAATAACATGAACTTGAACTATATACACCAACTATAAAATGAGTTTCGTCTGCGCACAAACGGTAAATTTTGAATAAAATTAAAATATATAACTTATGCAATTGCTAAGCAGTTTAAATCAAAAATATTGCTAACTAAAAAATCAAAAAGCAGCTGTTACTTCGACAATAATTATGTAAGAACAATAATCCATGAACAATAAGTTATGATGAGACAAATAACCTGCTAATTTCATTCTAATTTAAGCGATACATGCATTCCACAGACAATAATTTGTAAAAGGTTGTCATTAGTTGAAATATCAAAACTATATCGTAATTTAGTGAAGTATTTTACGTTTATTCGTATATTTTGGGTGCTAAACTGTTTTGCTCAATTGATGCGCTCCGTAGCAACAGAACTGGGCGAGCATTTTAACGCTATGCTAGCCTTATTTCTAAGGTTTGTATAATTACCTTATCCTATATTTTCTTGTACTGATTATAATTAAAAAATATCATCAGATCTTGACTTATGATCCTCTCCGTGACACGTCACTTCAACATCATCACATGGCGAATTCATTGCTAAACAATTTAGGTTCTTTGCTAAACAATTTAGGTTCTTTGCTAAACAATTTCATTGAATGTTGTTCGAATTCTTGAAACCATCTTGCATCAGCGTGACTTGTCAATTTTGTCATTTTAAAATTATTTCGCGATGGACTAAGGGAATAGTGAAAGAATTAATTTTGATTAAACGTACAACACCGAGGTTCAATATTTGTTCCAGGTATGCATTACTGTACATGACCCTTTCAACTGACAGATTCAGTGTGAGAAAAAATACGTACATAAGTTAATTCTTATTAAGAATTGCCTACTGGTATTATTCTATACCATATATCACAACTCTGGTATTTTCAGGCGGTGTCTGGTAGCCTGAATAACTAATCTTGCAATGTAACAATAACTCATAACGTCACAATGACAAGTTTGAAGAAAAATTATTTGGAAGGCTTGAATACATCCTCCCTGATAGCATCGCTGACGCTGAGGCTGACGCTCCGAGTATATGAACGGGTTCAAGAACAGACTAGGTAAAGCTGTGTATAATATATTTTCAGACTTGAAATGCATAGCACCATTTCGAACCCGGTGGAAGTCTAGCAGTTACTTCAAACTATCGTCAGTCTTGAAAAGATCCGGTCAAATGACACGATTTTAGATCTTCTGTGACCAAGTCACGATACGTTCATGAATCGGCCTACTCTTTAGACATCACTGTTATGTTACACGGGGACACTGGACAGTGCAGACGGCTAATAAATCTGGCAAGTGTCGGTCGGTTGGTGACTATCCGGCAAGAAAGCCAGTACGCGATGACGATGCCAATATCTTCTGGTTTTCCATCGTTCCCAACTGGTATATTTTTATACCAGATTTCACAAATCTGGTATTTTCTGACGGTGTCTAGTATGAATATCATAGATCTGTATATTTGCCTAAACCTGTATTTCTGACTTACTGCAAATGTAGTGCATCAAGTTCCGGCTTGAAATTTGAACTTCACTCAGCGTCGGCGTGGATTATACAGGTTACCTTTAGAGCGGCGCGACTAGAGCTTTCCCGCCATTTTTGGAAGATTACCGTTTGATTGCAGAGATTACCGTTTGATGAAATAAGTTCAAATAACTCAAATCTAATTGTTAACATTTAACAAGAGTGCTTAGTGCAGTGAGTGCACGAGAGTAATGATTCTTGATTGATTACTGATCAGTGATGATATGGTCTTGCCGCCTTTGACGAGTGAGTTTATCGAACCGATCTCTGCTACGCAATCTCTACCGTTTCTGTTTGGTGGTTTTGAATTCAGGAGTGCCACTTGATTTCTGGGGTGCCATTCGAGATTGCACTGATCTTCGAAGTCATCATCCATTCAACTGGCTGATCATCCATCCAACTGGCTGACTACTGCAACACTTGTCTAATTTTACCAGTCTCCAATGCATTCGTGGAGCGAGTGTTTTCACAAGTCACCTATGTGAAAAACAAGCAACGAAACAATTTGAATTAAGCTACTAAGAGTCCTTTATTCGGACCAAAAGTTATCTGCTTCTATCTGCTCACAAGAGTTGCCGCAATTTTGTGATCACACCCGAAATGTTAGATAAATGCAATTAATAAGGAAGAGGATGATGACCTGTTTCCGTGGCTTGCTCATCTTGGGTGAAGAGAACAAATTGTTACACTGTGATAGAAAGGTAAAAGTGTCAATGTAATCAATTCAATCGGCAGTTGAGTGTGAGTTCAATCGGCAATTCAATCGGCTTCATTTATATGATGAAAATCTATGTATTCGAGAGTGCTTCTGCCTATTATTTTCGCGTGCATCTTTATACAGAGGGTTCTCTACCTGCGACACATTTTCTTCTCGTATTAAAGGAATTATATTCCAAGATGAAAGACTGAGTGTAGTCTTACTTGCTTTGTTCGGTATAGCATGAAAGAGCAATCCAGAAACATCAGGTATCTGGCAGGAAAACTTACGCAAAATAACATACTTTCAGAAATTTTTGCGTACATTATTAAGTTCAACGTTAGAATTCTGAGCCTCCATTATCAGTATATTTTTTTACAATAAATATCTGCTCCGAGCTTATGATCGTATGTAATGATCGTTGACATTTGTACACATTTATCCATGTTATTGTTCTAGCGTAACCTTTGCATTACCTGACTACAATTACTCAAGATTTTACATAATAGAGTGTTGACAACGAAGCGACCCAGCCGTAGCACTCCGGGTTTGCATGAAACATTCTTCATCTGTTTAAATTTCCAGCAGGTTCCTTAGCTTTTCAATAATCCACTGCCTAAATACACTACTTTATCCAACATGTCGAGATTCCTTTCATGTTAGACTTGGGAATGAAAATCTTTATTAATTATGAGCAATTAATTTTTAGCTATGAAATGAAGAAGATTATACAGTGAAATACATGCAAAAGTCTAAATAATTGTGCGAGAATTTCTTAATATTAGTAGTTGCCAGAAAAGTTTAAGCTAGTCTAAGGTTCGAATTCGTTGAAATATTTTAAAACTTCACAGAATGGTTATTTTGTTACAGGAACGAGAAAAATTTCATTTTTATTCAAACCATCTCCTATTTTATTTAATATTGAAAGATCGTCATATAATGTATTCTTCATAATCTCATCTCTCCTAAAAATAATCTAACTTCAGGATCCTGATCCAACAAATTATCTAACGTA